TGGCCACGGAGAAGACGTGGCTGGCTGACCGCGTGGTGCTCGGGACCGACACAGGCAGGCAGCTTGCAGGCTCTCGATTTGTAGCACTGAAAACCCGAGACCCGGTGAACAGAGACGACTTGAGCTGTCACGGTAGAGTCATAGCCTCTCCCCACCCCTGGATCACCCGGAACCCTTCAAAGGCAAGGCGGGCACGGATCTCAGGCGAGGAACGCTGGAACAGAACCAGCGCGGACAGTACTGAGGATGTCCGTCCCGGCCTTCCCCAAACAGCTCATGGCCATTACCAGGCAGCCGAGCTCCAGGGAAAGGGCTCCGTGGGCCACGTTAAGTGCTCGGTTCGTGGATTGTCCTAAACCACGGCAGGGGAAGACTACGGCTGGCACTGCTGCTATTTCAGCATGGCCGATTGGAGCGATGAGCACAGCCCTGCACGGATGCAGCCGTCGCTGCGAGGAAGTCTCCCCCCGCTTCCCTCTCTCCCTCCTCCCCTCCCCCACTCTCCCCTCACCCCCCACTCCCCCGCGCACACACGCACGCACACGTCCTGCCTCAGGAGTGCACGCACCGGCTCTCATTTTGTGTCCAGGTCCTGCCGTCTTATCGTGCTACCGTCATCACCGGACAACAGTGAACACAAGGGCTGTCCAGTGTGCTCCTGGTCACGTAGAGAAGGGGGCAGCCTCGATTAGTCTCTGTGGACTTTGGAGGTGACACATGCCACACTTGGGGGCAGCTCCCGCCATTTACTGGAGGCCCAGAGTCTGCTGTCGGAGCACAAGGCACCGCCTGCTGGTGCAGCTGCCGGGCAGGTGGCCTTTGTGACCGGGTAACCCAGGGTGGGGGTCGAGGGGCCTGAGGGGGGCCCCCAGGAGACATCCGGGGGTTTGGAGCAGAGGGACGCCCTCCCGGCAGGGAAACTCTCTCCTTCCAAGCCGCAGCCAGCTTCGGCCCAGACGCCCAAGTGCGGGTCCCGAGCTGCCCTGGGGGCTGGATGTGATCGGGGTGCACCTGCCCAGGCGGGAGCGGGGCCCCAGGAGGGCCTGGCAGTCCTGCAGGTGCGGGTGGTTTGCGTGGGCATCACAGCCGCCCTGCCCTCCGCCTAAAGTACCTGCTCCCCCGGGACCCCCGGGGGCTCCCCAGTCCCAGCGGCTGAGGAGGAGAAGCGCGGGCTAACACCAGACGGGAGTGGCTTGTCCCCCGGCAGGAAGGGGACCTCACTTTGGGCCGAACTTGAGCAGAAATTCCCATTTTCCACGTGGATGGAGGAAGAGGGCCTGGGGGTCGCGTGGCCCGTGGAAGTGGCTCCTGCTCGGTGAGAGGGTCTGGGCTGGAGGGTGCGAGGCGGCACAACGAGTGGCAGTGGGTGCTGGGAGGAGGACGAGGACGATGTAGAAGGGCCCCGGAGATGTGCCCTGCCACCGCTCAGAGAGGCCCGATGCAGCCCTGCGCTGGGGTCCCACCAGCGCAGGCTGGGGTCCCGACGGCAGGCTGCTGTGTGGGTCACTCTGCGGCCTCCAGCCACGAGGGCCTGCGGAGTGGGGGGGGCTCTGCACGGCTGGCCTTTGCCTCGTCACCAAGGCCGATGTGCTCCGACCTCCCGCCCCGGAGTCCTCACCCGGCAGGCACCCGGATGTTCCCCAATGGCAGTTGCTTGTGGCGGGCCCCTTCCACCACGGAGGACCAACGCCACCAGCCCTGCACCGCCTGAACGCCTTTCCCGCTGTGACGGCGCCCACGGAACACGCGGGTGACTGGGGAACCACAGCTGCGCCCACGGGCTCCCTGTGGCCGGCCCATCACACGCCGCAGGCTCGCGAAAGAGGAGGCCGGACGAAACGCAAGCCCGGGCAGCGCAGGAAGAGATGCAAGGACCAGGGTCTGAGGCCACGCCGGGGCCGGGTGGCCCACCCTGGAGACAACCACTTCCAGATTCCTCCGTAAATCCTTTTATCATTTACTGCAAAAAACCCAAAATGCTGCCCTTCGGCCTGCGGAGGCACCAGCTCGTCGCCCAGTGTGGCTCCCCTGGTCAGGGTGCCGAGCCGCGCATTCGTCACCTGCCGATGGGTGGGGAACCTGCGGCCTCGGTGGCCTTCTGGATCCTTGAGTGTGGCCTTTTGACCGAATCTAGATTTTACAGAACAAAATAAAGGGGTTTGTTCCGTGAAGTTTGGATTCAGTCAAGGGGCTACAGGTGGGGATCTGGGGGGCCCCGTGTGGCCTTGAGGCTGCAGGTTCCCCACCCCTTTAAAAGGGCTTCGCACCCGAGAGAGGAGCTTCCCACCAGCAGACGCCTGCGCGGTGCAGCGAGCTGGCAGCGAAGGCCGGAGTGTGGACTCCGGCAGCACCGCGCCCACGGGGAACGGGGGAGCAGGGAGGGCCTGGCTGTCTGGGGGACAGGGCCCTGCTCTGAGCAAAGGGCACGGACGCACTCAAGTGGTTCCCGGGGCGTCTCCTCACCCCACCACATGCACTGGCTCCCCGCGGGCCGCGGCCTCCCTTACGACAGGACAAGGGCCCAGGGCTCTCCAGAAGGAGCCTCCTGGTCACCTCACTAGGCCCCCGCCCTCGGCCGCCGAGATGCTGGGGCGGGCAGGGAGCAGGGTGCCGCACTCTTGGGACCAGCTAGAGGCATGCAGAGGATGATTCGACTTCTCTGCTGCATCTGCTACTTGTCTACACTAACCCTCCCTGCTCCGCGCCTCCCCACCCGCCGTGGCCGTGGCCAACGGTGCGATGGTCTGTCGGTTTTGAAACGTCCAGAGGGTGGAACTAGAAGTGGGGGGCGGGGATGGAGGCAGAATGTGCACCCCAGGGGTGTGGGGCCTCCCTTCAGTAAAGGGTGCCGTTCCTCGGGTCTGGGGGGTTGTGTTTCTGCTTTTGTTTTCTGAAACGCGAGTGGGGGTGGGTGTGTTGGGTGTCATCGGCCGTCCTGGCTGCCCAGCGTCCGAACCCCCCCCCCCCGACTGGGTGAGCCTTTGTGCCGCTCCCACTCTGAGGCCAGAACAGTCCAGATGCTTGTTCTCTCCGGCCTGGCGAGGAGGGGCAGGCACGTGGCCTGGGCTCAGCCAGTCAGAGGCTTCCACCGGGGACTTTGCCTGGAGTGTGTCACAAAGAGCAGGGACAGTTTGGAATTCCTACTGGCAGTGGGGCGGCGGCCGGCACCCAGAGCCCAGCTGCGGCCTCCAAGCCGGGTCCTCCGACCTTCCCCTCGACCCCGCAGCCCGGGTACCTCTGCAGCACGGCCCTCTCCTGCCTGCCCGGCCCCGGCGGGCGTCTTTTATTGTGGTCCAGAGGCCTGTTGCTGGGCGTTTAGGTGGTTTCCAGTTTTTCTTTCCTACAAACAGGCTGAGATGAGAACGCTTGTCCCTCCTCCCCGTGCACACGCACAAGGATTTCCGGAGGAAAGGTTCTCGCTCCGCCCTTCCTGCTTCCCAGCCGCCTCCTCCCAGCGTCCACAAGCTGCTGCCCCTCAGGCTCCACGCCCAGCCCGGGGGTGGGTCGCGTCAGAGACCCCACCCACCCAAAGGCGGTCCAGCCCGGTCCAGCCCTGTGCTTGCGCCTCGGTTCCCCATGGGACGTGACCCCTCGACCCCACTTTAGAACTAACTGCTCCAGGCAAGGACGCCTGCTTGCTGTCACCCAGCCCACCCGCTAGTCCCGAGCTTCACGAGGACAGGGGCGCTGTCTGCCTCATTCTCTGTCCCCAGAGCCCGGCACACCCGCTGTCAAACAGGGTGGACTCAACAACACTCTGCGCAAACAAACAAACGTGGGAACTGCGATAGGATTTTAATGATCTCAGGCCGGTGACAATGGAGGCTGGTGGCTGAAAGGGGACGGGGGAAGCCTGGCGTGGGCTTTGCTGCTTCCCGACCTAGACACCAGTGGGCAGGGGGAGAACTAGGAACTAGTGGAGAACGCTAGCCGAAACCTTCCAGTAATTTCTTTAAGCTCAGGGAGATCGGGGAAGCAGGGGGACATCTGGTGGCCGGTTGTCGAAGGTGGCTACAGAGAGGAAGGAGGCAGGGGAGGGGCGGCCCTCGGCACTGCCCGGGGTGTGCCTGGCCGAGTCCCTACCACGCAGCGTTGTCCGCGCCCGTGGAGTTGGTCAGGTAGAAGGGGCGGATGACTGCCCGGAAGCTGCTGAAGGACCCCGTCGGGCAGGGGAAGAGGGAAGCGCTCCTGGAACCGTTGTTCTCCAGGGCACTGGGGATCGTGGCCTTGGGGCCCTCGAAATCGGCGACGTCTGCCACGAAGCGCCCTTCACAGAGCACCAGGGCTTTGTTCTCGTAGCCGATGGTGGGATCTGAGTAGCCGGACCTGGTCAGGCCCAGGGCGGGGAGCTCGCCCGAGGTGCACGAGAACCCGTAGTTCCAGCAGCTCTGCACGGTGGGGAGGTAGGCCAGGGACCAGGAGACGCTCTTGGCCTGGAACAGGAAGCTGGGGTGGGGTGGGGTCTGGAAGGACTGGTAGGGGTAATACCTGTAGCTGGAGGAGGCGCGGCTGTAAACTGCGCCGTAAGAATAAGCGAACGGAAGCGCTCGTGCGTTCTGGGAATCGGCCGTCACAGAGGCGCTCCAGGTGGGCGAGGTGTAAATCCGGGGCTTGTACGTGTCCTCGGAGAGGTTCAGGCCTCTGTACTGGGCCAGCAGCTGGAAGGGCACGGTGTGGAACTCCAGGGCCTGCAGAATCTTCCTCTGGAACAGGGCCTCGTGAGCCCTATACAGGGACAGGTTGAACTGCAGCTCAAAGAGGTCCTCGGGCCGCATCATCGGGAAGCGGATCACCTCGATCAAGCCTTCCACGTCCCCGCGGGAGGCGCGCTGCTCCCAGCTCCAGGCGTCCAGGGCCTTGAGCAGGGCCAGCTCGCTGGGCACAGCCAGCTCGCTCTTGGGGAGCAGCACCTGGAGCAGGGCTGTGGGGACGCTGGGCCAGGCCTCGGCCTGCGTCAGGGCCTCGAAGTTCCAGGCCAGGAACCGCACGCAGAGCTCCTCCAGCAGGGGGTCCCTGGTGGCCAGTGCATAGGCGTAGAGGTCCAGGGGTGTCCGGAAAGAGGGGTCCTGGGGCAGGAGGCTGGCAAAGAGGCTGGCACAGTATTCCTGCAGCTGCGTGGCCCCGTAGGCAGACGCCAGCTTGTGGAAGCACTTGACCGACGACAGGGAGATGTCGATCCTCCGGGAGTAGAAGTACCTGGGCAGGGAGAGGGAGAGCTGATGTCTGCCCCCAGGTCGGCAGGGACGGCAGGGGCGCCCGGGCTCCCGCCGAGCATCGCCGTGCGTCTGAGCGTGAGTGTGCCCACGAGTTGTGAGGAGCCTGTGCAATGTGTGTGCACATGCGTGTGCATGAGTGCAGGCGTGCACGTGCGTGTCTTGCTGTGACCGGGGCCCTCGCCCCTTACTTGGTGGGTTGTGCTTTTGAAGAGGGGAGGAGGGCGGAGCCCCTGGGGGCACGGCATGGAGCTGTACCCACACCCCCACCCCGCGGACCAGGACGGTCACCTGAGGAAGTCTCTGACCACAGGCGTGCACTCGGCGTCCACGCTCATGACGACTTTGCTGCCCGGCTCCTGCCACAGGGCCTGGGCCTCGGGGTTGGAGGCCAGGATCAGGGTGTGGGCACAGAGGTCCAGCACCTCCTCCTCCTGCACCTGCACCTGGAGGGACAGGTCACAGCCGTGCTGGCTGTCGAAGATCTGGCCGAGCGCGGCGGAGAGCTCCCTGGAGAGGTCGAGGGTGTGTCTGCTTCTGGTTTCTGGGAAGGGGCAGAGGGACATGTGCCTCGTTAGGTGGCCGGGGCTCTGTCGCTCGCTCGCCCTGGCTCTGGACACCCGTGTTGCCCTCTGGTCAGTGTCTTCATCTCAAATCACAGGGTCAGTGCCTGCCTCAACTGCTCAAACGGCTCCTGGGAAGATGAGGCACAGGACAGACCCTGAGGCCCCCGCCCACCGTGGGGACCAAGAGTGGCCGGGGCCCTGACCAGCCTCTCCCTCTCTCCTCTCCCCCACATTCGGGGGCACCTGGGTGGGGGTTTAGGGTGCTGACCTCCAGGGCCCCAACCTTTCAACCACCAACCAACCAACCAGCATAGACGTTACCCTTCTACAGCCAAACCGCCTGCCTGGTTCGATGGCCTGACAAGTTAGGGTCCCACGGCAACCCAACTTTAGAACTCTGGGGATCCCTGAGCAGCCTCCTGTGATGCACAAGGCCTGAGAAGTCATGGGAGGCTTCCTGGCACGGGGGACAGGGGGATGTACCTCCTCCCCGCTCAAAGCATAACTGGAAACTAAACCCCTTCGGTTCCTCCTTTGCCCCAGTAGGTCTGCAGCCCCTGACTCCCCTCGGCCTGACTCTTGGGCCTCCCAACTCTAGGCTCGGCCTTTGCTCCTCCTGCCACGGCTGCCCTGCCAGAGGCCGCCTTTGCCCTGAGCCATGGCCCCTCGGCAATGTGAGTCCTCCCCTCCAGCCAGGTCCGTCCCGGGTGGGCTCGGGCTCCCTACTCCTGTGCTCTAGGGTCCCCAAGTGCAGAGGGAGCTGGGCAGGGAGTGCCCCAGGCCTGCGTGCCAGCCCAGAGGAGCCACAGCTGGTGGTGAGGGCAGGAAGGACGACTGTACACTCAGACGCGGGGACTCAAACCCACATCAGCCTGGCTGCCCTCGGCATGCGGGTGGGCGAGGGGAGAGGCGGGCTGGGGGCTGCCCGTGGCCAGGCCTTCCCGCCGCAGGAAGTGCTTGAAGCCTGGCCCCGTGCTGCTGGTGCTGTGTGGAGTGTCGCAGAGCCAGAGCCAAGAGAAGCCAGGCAAGCCCCGGATGCGGACATCACACCTATCTGGGACGGGGCTTGCCGCCCGACAGCGGCTCCTGGGAGCGTTTCCGAGGCAGCTCCAGCAAAGGCTGGGTGGGGAGCTCGGGACCCGTGGCTGTGAGCCAGGGGCTGTCGGACTTCCGGGCCCCTCCATGCGGAGTCGGGGGGTGGCGCCCTGAACCCCGGCTTACACAGGTGTGTGCTTCACGTGGGGGGCATGCTGGGAGGGGCGGGGGTTCCACAGGACCCAGGGCACGTCGGGGCTCAGGGAGGCGTGGCCCCGCTCACCGTTGGTGCACACCACGCCGGCGTCCCTCTCGTGCCTGCAGTTGCTCTTCAGCCAGCCCAGGGATTTGCAGTCGGCCAGCGAGGGCTCCGTCCCCGTGCACTCGACCTCATCCAACATGACCGGGCCCGTCCCTGTCGGCACAGCAGAGGTCAGGGGCCGGGGCTGCGCGGGGAAGGCCCTGCCACCAGGGCCACTCCTCTCAGAGACATGGAAAGAGCAATGACAGTCACCGCACAGGAACGGGGCGTCAGAGCAGGGAAAACCACCAGCCACCCTGCGGTCCCCTCCCGGGCACGTCCGTCCGTGTGCAGGTCTCTCGCCAGGTCTAACCGCGGGGACCCTCGCGTGTGGGTTTGGATTTATTGCTGCAACGTCGCGCCATAAACTCGGCCTCATTCTTACGAGGTCTAACGGCTGCCTCAGAGACAGCAAACTCGTAGACCACAGTTCGTGCAACCACCCCCACTGCGGAATATTTGGATCATTTCTCTTTTTCTCAGAATCACAGCCCCTGTGTCAGTGGAAATCTTCCTGCAAACAGATTTCTCTTTTGAGGGAAAATGTTTCAAGAAGATAAATTCCCCTGAGTGGCGTTTCTGGGCCGGAGGGAACAAGAACGCAGCGAAGCCCAAGCAAGCGCCCGCTGTCGCCCGTTCCAGCGAAGCTTCACTCGTGTCCTCGAAAACGCTGCTCATGCTAAGTCAGTAGGAGTCCAGTGTGCACGTCTTTGTCGCCTGTCCCGTCATTAGCCCCCACCGAGAGCCGGCTGTGCGTCGGGATGGGGACGCAGGCCCTACCTTGCCCAAAGGCGGCTCTGCCCAGAGCCTCGGTGGCGTTCTCGAACCCCAGGGCCCGGCACACGACGCTGGCGTCGGTCAGGTCCCACAAGTTGTCACACACGGTGCCCCACTGGCCTCTGTAGAAGATCTCCACGCGGCCCTGGTTGGCGGCGCCCCCATCGGCCAGCCGCATGTCGCCGTCGTTCACGCCTGCGGGCAGAGGTGGGCAAGGACCGGGCTGGGCCACAGCTGCACGGCCCGCACTGCCAGGGTCGTGTGCCGAGCTGGTGGCAGTAAAGTTCTCCCCAGCTAGGGGTGACCTGACGAGCTTGTTTTCCAGCTCTTTGACGTCCCACTGCCCTTCCGTGTGGGGGCCACTCACCGGGAGGAGTGGAACGCACATGCGGCCCCGCCCGGGCAGAGCTCCCCTCTCCCTGGCTGGGAGGTCTGAGCCCTTCCGCACAGATGGAGAAGAGGCAGAAGGAGGCCTCGGTTCTCCAGCACCTGACCGTAGAGGGGCAGGAGGCCCATGATGAGCCCACCTGTCTGGGGCTTGGAGGTGCTGGCCCCCAGAAACACAGGCAGAATACTCCCAGCTAGGGAAGGGCGTTCCTGCCCCACACGAGTTCTGGGACGTGGCCCCTAACACCCCGTCCCTGCTGGTGCTGGCAGGGTCGGGCAGGAGCCGGTGCCTGCTTCCAGGGCCATCCATGACAACGGGCAACCCTCGGCTGTGGGTACCCCCGGCTTCGGTGAGGTCACCAGGACGAGCAAGGCTTCCGTGGGGTCGCGGTGTGCAGAGCACAAGGAAAGGCTCCTGGGACCCTGTGGAAGCTGCTGACCTCACGACACCCCAGCGACTGGCTGGTTTGGTCAGCCCCTCTGGTTCCCACTGGCTGGAGTGGAAAACTCCTTGGCATCCTCTCCGTAACCTGCATCTCACCTGAGCCCAGGTGAGCCCTGCTCCCCGCTAGGACCTACAAGCCACCACCACTTGGGCTACCCAGGGCTTCGAGTGGGAGAGAAGACCCGCTAATCCCCGGCACCCAGGCGCCGGGCGGAACATCTCGACTGTCCGCAAGGAGAGCGTTGGCCCCAGACCACGGTGCAGCGGTCACACTTGCTTCTGGCCTTTCCCAGTGGCTCGACTCACCTTGAGTCCCTGCGACCAGCAGCCACATCCAGAAGAGCCGTGGGAGGGCCATGGCCTTGCCTGGAAGCTCGGGTCCTACAGCGGAAGGAAGCGGCAGAGTGAGACACCGGTGTGCAGCAGCCCCAGGACCAGGGACTGGTTTGCCATCGTCCTTCAGTCCGACTTGTGGACGGCCCACCGTGTGGCGGGCGGGTCCCTCTCCTGCAGAGCCGACTACGTCGCAGGTGAGTGTGATGACACCACGGACGTGGAGGCCCTGGTGCCACGGGTGCCCCCAGCAGGGGCCCTCACCTGGTCTGCAGGGTGGTCCTCAAAGGATGAGCGAGACTTGGCCAGAGGAGGGATGGCCGGGTGTCTCCTGGAAGAGGAGCCCAGAGGCGAGTGAGCCGCTCTCAGAAACCAGGACTGGGTGGGGCAAAGACGAGTCTACGGCTTAGAGAGTAGACGGGAAGGGACCCGTCAGGAGGACACCGAGCCCAGGCCAGGGGTGACAGAAGGCGGGAGCTCTGGGGAGCTCCGGAGTACAGAAGGGGGCAGTGGAGAGAAGGGGTCAGGTCTCTGTGCCCCGGGGGACATGACTGAGACCCAAGCTCCTGGAAGAGTGGGGGGGTGAGGCGTGGACTTGAAGTGTCTCCAAGACATCAAGGCTCAGAGGACCCAGGTCTCCGGCTTTTGGCCTGGCATTCTTGCCTCTATGTAATTTTTTTTTTTTTAATTTTTTAAATTTAAGAGGCAGGGTCTTGCTCTGTCTCTCGGGCTAGAGTGAGGTGGTGGCATCATCATAGCTCACTGCAGCCTCCAACTCCCAGGCTCAAGCGATCCTCCTGCCTCAGCCTCCTGAGTAGTTGGTTACAGGCATGTGCCACCACGATGGGCTAATTTATTTTTTTCAGTAGATACTACATTGCCCAGGATGGTCTCCAACTCCTGGCCTCAAGCGACCCTCCTGTCCCAGCCTCCCAGGGATCACAGGCGTGAGGCACCGCGCCAGCCTCTGTGTAATCCTCGACACTCACTCTTCATCTTCACCCGCAGTGACCACCGCCTCCCCTGCTCCTGCCCCTGCTGCCTGCGTGGAGAGTCCTGGGACACCTGGCACCACTGCCTGCATCCAGCAAGCGGGGACTGGCAGCTGGTGGTGCTGCCGTGACCCCGGCTACAAGTCAGGACCTGGTGACCTAGAGATGGCATGCTTGTCCCTTGCTGCTAAGAGGGGGGCCCTGTGGATGGCAGCAATGGTGTCCCCCAGAGCTTGTTGGGAATGTGAGTAGTGGCCTCGCCCCAGTCCCTCTGCATCGGGACCTGCACGGACGAGACCCCTTGCCAGGACAGCTCACACACCAGCTGGAGGCTCCCTGTAGCCCCTGAGAACCCCTTGCTGACACCCACTTGCCAAGTGCACGAGCTGAAGCCCAGAGAGGCAAACTGACTCCAAGCCACAGCTGGGGGGCCCACTTCTCGCTGCACCCATCTCAGTAGATGGCTGAAGGGGCCAGGATGACCAACCGTCCCGTGTGCCAGGACTGTGCTGGCTTTAGCGCTGTAAGTCCCATGTCCTGGGAAACCCCCCAGTCCCAAGCACACAGGGATGGCTGCTCACCTCTCTGCTGTAACCGCCAGGTTTGCTCACCCTGGGACGAGAACTCAGGGCCTTGGCAAAGTGGCCAACCAAGCACCCGGTGCACGGCATGCAAGTGCTGCTGTCCTTTGGGCGGCGGCTCTTTGTTTTTGCCTGATTCCCTCATATGGGACGCTGGGACAAGGCTGCCTGTGTTGGCCTATATGGTACCCTTGCACAAACTGGACAAAGGTGCTCTTCCTGGGGGCGGGCGCATGCCTGGGCCAGAAGGCACAGACCTGAGAGAGGGCCAGGGGCCAAATCCAACCGATGCGCCCCTTAGGCTGGTGTCCTTGTGCAGTGAGCAACCTGCCCAGCTGTACACAGAGGCCCTGTGGCTCTGGGAGCAGCAGTGACGATTTCTGGGCTCTGGAGCACTGGGTCCCCAGCTCCAGGCCTAGGGAGGGAGGGGGTGCCCACCTGAGAGCAAGAGGCAGGGGCTTACCTGAGGGAGGCAGCTGTCGATGGCTGTCCTGCAGGCTCCTACCTTCCTGCTGCAGGGGCCCTCTGTGGACCAGTCTCACAACCCAGGAAACCCTCCCCGCGTGGGCTGCGACCAGACTGATCCCAGGAAATGCTTCAGGAACAGTCTAGTTTCGATTTCTAGAAACCAGCTGACGTAGATTTCTCCCAGGGTTGGCTGCTGAAAACGCTCCCGGTACCCCTCCTCCTCCTCCTCCTCCGCTCTGCCCGTGGGGATCTGGCTTGGCAGCGGCCCAAGGCAGCAGGAAGACTGGGCCTGGCCGAAGTCCAGGGGCTGACATTTGGGGGCGAGGGGGGAGGGGTGGGGACAGCGGGAGGAAGCAGAAGCTCTGTGGCCAGACAGCCTGCACCGGCGGTGTGACCGTGACTCCCACGAAGCCCTCAGCCCTGTCCGCCCTTCTCCAAGCACTTGCCATGCTGACGGCATGCGCCGTCCCCCCGACGGCACGGAGGGCCCGAGACGCAGGCCTGCAGCCAGCCAGGGCTCAGCCACACCCCACTGGTGGCGCCTGGCTCCAGAGCCTGTGCTGTCACCTCTGGACTACGCTCTCCACCCTCTCCTAACGTCTGGGCTTGCTCTCCTGGTGTCTCTCCCACAGTGGGGCAGGGGACACAAATGGCTCAGTCCAGCTCACACCCATTCCTTTTCCTCCCACAGAAAGGCAGCGCCTCAACTTCCCCTTGGGGAGCACCCCTCTCTCACTCCCGGCCGTGTGGCTCCCAGAGGGCCCCAGGCCTGGCCGTCCGAGCCCTGCAGACCCCGTGGCCACGCAGAAGGCGGCAGGGAGGAGCCACGAACCGGGCGGCCCAGCGAGAGCCGGCTACGGGCCGCGGCTGCTGGCGCCCGTGGGGCAGAGCAGAGAGGCCGAGTGATGCCGCGGCCTGAGCTCCCGGCCCGGCTGGCCTAAGTCGTGGTCAAGCCTTGGGCTTCACAGCTCCGTGAGGCGACCAACGTCCTCTCGGGCCTGTCACTTGCATCCTGAGGTTTGGGACGAGGCTATTCCCTTGGAACGTGCCGGGTCTCTCTGACCACCGGTTCTCAGCCGGGCCCAGGCCCCGAAATCACGGTCTCCGACGGGGCGGGCGGTCCCGCTGGGTGGAAGCTCTGGTTCGCCGGCAGCTTCGAGTCCGAGAGAGCAAGCCCGGAGGTCAGACAGTCAGACTACTTCCCCCAATCCAGTCCCCTCCAGAGGACCTGTGAGGACTCCAGGGCAGAAGCAGCTGGAAAAAACGGGCATAGGAGTCGGGGGAGCTCGAAGACCCGCTGAGATTAAGGGCCGTGGTGCCAGCCGGCACAGAAACACCAGCGTCATCACTTATCGTCTCGGTTATTCTTGCCCAAGTAAGTGGCCAGCACAGGACAGGAACACGCCTTTGAGGAGTGTCGTCGAAATGTTTAAAAACCCAAGATGCTGACCCTTTAGCCCCAGCGCCCGGCAAAGCCCTGCGTGCCCTGGCGCGGGAAATGTAAGATCCGGAGGCCTCGTCTTGGGGTCAGAAGGATCGCTTGAGCCCAGGAGTTTGAGGTTGCTGTGAGCTAGGCTGACGCCACGGCACTCACTCTAGCCTGGGCAACACAGTGAGACTCTGTCTCAAAAAAAAAAAAATCGGCTTTACTGAGATATAATTTACCTACGATAGAATGCATCGAGTTTATGAGTTTTGGCAAATGCATACAGATGGTACCGTGACCACCATCATAACACAGAATAATTTCAGCACTCCCAAAAGTTCGCTTCTGCCCCCTGCAGTCGACCCCCAGGTGGCTCCTCACCACGGCATTACCTCTGCTGGAACGTCATCTAAGCGGGGTCACGCGGGGTGTGACATTTTGTGTCTGGCTTCTTATACTTTGCTCGACGCTTCTGAGAGTCAGCACGTTGTTCCAAAATGGGTAACTGGTCCTGTCTTTGCTGAGTGGGAGCCCACAGAGCACGTTCCGCATCTGTGCACGGGTGGACGCTGGGGCCACCCCACGTTTTACTACTAACGTTATGCACGGAGCTGTTAGGAACACTTGAAGCAAGAGTTTCCATATCTTTTGCTCAAACGCCTAGGAGCGGGATTACTGGGTCAGATGAAAGATGTATGTTAATTTTTTAAGAAACTGCCCAACTGCTTTCCACAGTTGCCGAACCATTCACATGCCTCCCAGCAACGTGTGCGTGTCCCAGTGGCCTCGTCCTCACCAGGACGTCAGTCATTTCAGTCTCATCCAGTCCAGTAGGCACGCAGTGGAAAGCCGCGTGGTGATAATGACCGACGACGTTAGGGACCTTCCGTGTGCTCATCGGTCACTCGTATATCCTCTCTGGTGACGTGTCTGTTCAAATCCGATGCGCATTTTTAAACTGGGCTGTTAGCTGTACACGTTCTTTATGTATTCTGTCCCTTCGGCAGATACGATTCACAGTTTTTTTGGATGGAAAGCTCGCCTTCTCATTTTCTTAGCGGCGTCTCCTGAAGAACAAAGGTTTTGAATTTGGATGAAGCTCAACTTGTCACTCTTTCGGTGTCGGATCTATGAAGCCTTTGCTTCACCCAGAGTCACAAGGTTTCCTCCTATGTCTTCTTCTAGGAGTTTTGTGGTTTTAGCTCTTACATTTGGGTCTTTGATCTTTTGAGTTAATTTTGCGTATGGTGGGAGGTAAGGGTTGCAGAATAGATTGTCCCGACACCACCGTGGAAGGACAATCTTTTGGATTTCAGGCCAATCGCCCTGGCACTTGTGTCAAAAGCCGATTGGCCGCGTACGCACGGTCTATTTCCGGACCCTCTTCTGCCTCACTGACCTACGTCTGTTTTTCGCATGGCCACGGCACACCGCTTTGGTTACTTATAGCTTCATATTAACTCTTGAAGTCAGTGTAAGTCCTTTGACTTTGCTTTTCCTTTTTTAAATCGAGTCTTCAGACCCATGAAGACAGTAAATCGTTTCATTTATTCAGGTCTTTGATTTTTTTCATCAGTGTTT